GTTGCAACATCCCATATTATGCCTATAATAATAAACCGGTAGAATTCCGTATCCACGTACACTCGTCATTTCTTTCTTTCTTTCGCCCATCCCTTTCGCCAAAGTTTGATTCGAGAAAATATTTTCCAACGACGATTCAAGAACGGTTCTCTCTTTCGCAACTTGCCGATTGTAATCTTATCTATCCATCATCGTTATTATGGATCGCTGCCCATTGTCGTTCGTTTCTCGAACAGAGTATAAATCCTCGTAGGTGTCTCAGCTTGGGAAATCACTATCTTCGATACGATCTCGAGTGGTGTGCCGTTACACGATAATTTATCTCGCGTAAATCAATTTTTCGTGTAACACGGGGGTACGAAACTATTCTGCAACGTTTCGATATCACTTTTGCGAAATTATATATAGATGGAATGTACAGGCATTCGTACAACTACGAAATAAAAGATTCTTATCTTCCACCGTGAGAAAATAAATTTTAATATTTTTGAAAATTCTATCTGAAATGAATCTCGCTCTCAATTAACGTGGTGGACTTTTAGCGTAAACGACGATCCAAAGTGAATTTTCATTTCGTTTTTTCTATCATTGTGGAGTATAAACTGAAAACTCGGAATATCTTTTTTGGATAACTTTAACAAAATTTGACAAAAGTGTCTGGAAAATATATTTCAGACACTAATTATCCAGATTTATTAATATTAAAGATTGCCGATAATCGATTCGTATTCAATTCTCTATGTTTTGCGAGAAAATAAATATATCTCGAGAAAATTCAATCGAAAGAAATTTTACACACAGTTTTCGAAGCAAACAGCCCATTAAAGCGATTCGATTCGTGGCGTTGAATCGTATCTATCTAGCCAGACGTTTTAGGCGCGATTCGGCGTGCGTTTAATGGGTGAAAGGTGTAACTTACTTATCATACAATGCGCCATGTATTGAAACGATCGTGACTTTTACTGCCTTTCGCTTATGCATTTTTTTTTTTTTTTTCCTTCCACAGTATGTAAAATGCATTCGATGGTTACACCAGGAAGTGACTAGCTCGCTTTTGCAAGTCTAAACAGAGAAGATCGATCTTTTCATTCCCGTTAATCCTATTTCAATCAAAGAACCTGTATCCCATTAAATTATTTAAATTCCCCCCTCTTTTCTAAGTGCTGCGCTATACTTTTATACTTTACTTCTCGCTACACATAGTATAAAACTTTCTTCCCTCATCAAAATTGCCTTCTTCGATCGATACTTTCTACGAATCTTGATAAAACTATTTTATTAACAAGTTAATAAAACATTTCAATTATCGTTGAATTACTTTCTCAAGTCTCACATCTAATTTTTTCGAACACCAGTATTCTCTTTTTTTTAGTCACACCAAGAATCGAGTCATTTTTACATTGAAATCGATCTTTGTTGGCAGTTTGGAATTTAACGAATTACTTTCTCAAGTTTCACATCTAATTTTTTCGAACACCAGTACGCACTACCTTTTTCTTAGTCACACCAAAAATCGAGTCATTTTTACATTGAAATCGATCTTTGTTGGCAGTTTGGAGTTTAAATTATTGAATTACTTTCTCAAGTCTCACATCTAATTTTTTCGAACACCAGTATATTTCCTTTTTCTTAATCACACCAAGAATGGAGTCATTTTTACATTGAAATCGATCTTTGTTGGCAGTTTGGAATTTAAATTATTTAAATTCTCTTCTAAATGCTATATTTATACTTTACTTTTCGCTACACATAGTATGAAATTTTCTTCCCTCATCAAAATTGCTTTCTTCGATCGATACTTTCTACGAATCTTGATAAAACTATTTTATTAACAAGTTAATAAAACATTTCAATTATCGTTGAATTACTTTCTCAAGTCTCACGTCTAATTTTTTCGAACACCAGTACACACTTCCTTTTTGTTAGTCACACCAAGAATCGAGTCATTTTTACATTGAAATCGATCTTTGTTGTTTGGAAGAAACTTTTACACCCACACACTCGCACGTATAAATAATCACGTTAAATAATCCCAGCAATCGATAAGATATTCGTATAAGGCCTGAGATGAAGGAAAAACACGGCAACAACGGTCGCGCAGACCTTGTCGCGAGTTCCTTTTTTTTCTCCCCCCTCCCCCTTCGATACGATCGAGCGGGCACAGTAATCTCGCTTTCGACAAAACAATAAGGTCGACGGTTTGTGAACGAAGTGGAGGGAAGTGGAGTGAAGCGTGACGGAAGAAGGGGATGGCGGTGAGGTTGTCCAGGCGGTTTTTCTTACCACGTATCCACGATCGGTCTCACCTTTCTCATTTCGTTTCGCGCGACACTTCCATTCGTTCCTTTAGAGATTAAAATTGGATCTGTTTGGATCTAAGGAGATCTCGGCGAACCACGAAAGCGAAAGACTTCTATCGAATCTCGTCCCTCGTTCTCGTTTCAACCCATCTTTTCAATTGCCGACCGAGTTTGAATTTTGTTTTCTTCTTGGCTCAAGATAAAGATTCTTCTCTTAAGTTTATTATGGTTAATTGATGCGAATAGGGAAATCGATAGATTGCAATTCGATGCTAAACTTTTTTGTGCGGAAATTATCATGCAAATGATGACAGGTTTAAGGAATAATAAATGATTCGGGTAAAGATTAAGAAATTTTTCATGAATTTCTCTTCTCGTTTCTTTAAAATTTGAATTTCATATATTTATATTATTCATATAATTTATTAAATTATATTAAAATATAAACATATATTAAATTAATATATAAATTATTAAAGAAGGAGAGAAAAATAATAAATATAATAAAAAATATAATAATAAATATAATAAAAAATAATTATTAAAGAAGGAAAGAAATATATTAAATTATTAAAGAAGGAGAGGATTGGAACACGATGCTTGATTTCAGAATTCGGCTAACGATCCACCGCGATAACAGACAGCAGCTTGCCAATTAGAATTAACTTTACTATTCCTTCGGTTTCGAGGATTTAACGATTATATTTTACATCTCTTTGGGGGAAATTGGATATCCATCCATGTCCAGGTTAGTTGGCCTACGTGGATCGTAACGAGTATCGCCGTGAATATCGGATTGGATGAACAGTAACTGTATCGCGGTACCATTCTATGGTTCACCGTGCTACGCGACTACTCTCGAAGCAACACGAGAAAACGAAGCAAGTATACGCGATATGTGCTCGTCGTGAATCGAAATTTATTAACATCGATCAATAATAGATTTATCGTTATTATATCGAGACGTGTATATAGTTGATCAGTGAGGAGATGAAAAGTTTGAAAAGATTTCTTTTCTCTAATAGAAAACATGTCATATTATATTATACATGTCATATGTTATTAATATTTATTATATTTATTCAGAATATAGAAGAAACTATACCAATGAAGTCACTTTTTGATTCGTCTCGATATCACAATTCATTGTCGAGTTATAAGAATTCAAAGTTCACCGTAGCGCTTAAGAAAAAAAAGTCGCGATTTAATGACCTATATTTTTTCCCGGAAATGTTTACTATGTTGTTCCAGATATCGCGTGTACTTTTCCAAGAATCGCGTCTGTCATTTGTCTGGTGTTTGGGATAGGTGAGCGCGAGTCCATGTAAGCTACCAAAAAGAAGACGGTAAACGATTAAAAATTACTCTTTTCTTTACACGACGATATCTCGGGAACCGGAAGTCGTATCGAAATAAATCGAAAAGCATTTTAAAGTGGAAAATCTCACGCTTCCAACGATCGTTCACTCGTTGACCGGAAGTCATTATCTTCGGAGTTACAACGATTCAAAGTTTTTCTAATTTTAATAGAATACAATTGGATTTGGTACGATTAAAAATCACTCTTTTCTTTGTATGATGATATTTCGGGAACCGGAAGTCGTATCGAAATAAATCGAAAAGCGTTTTAAAGTGGAAAATCTCACGCTTCCAACGATCGTTCACTCGTTGACCGGAAGTCATTATCTTCGGAGTTACAACGATTCAAAGTTTTTCTAATTTTAATAGGATACAATTGGATTTGGTACGATTAAAAACCACTCTTTTCTTTGTACGATGATATTTCGGGAACCGGAAGTCGTATCGAGATAAATAAAGAGGTATTTTAAAGAACAAGGTTTCAGGTTTTTAATGATCCTTCATTGAAGACTAGAGGACTTCTCTATAGATTCATATTTTTAGACTTATAGCGGTTTAAGATTTAATCGAGTTTTTAGATGATCAGTAATATTTCTCGATTTGGTTACCAAGACTTTAGACATCAAAATGGTATAAGATTAAAGCGTCTTCTTGGCGCAAACCGGCGCTGTGCTTTCACGTTACGTCTCTTTTATGCATAAAGTGCACGAATATACCGCAAATAGCCTTTGGACACTGTCGGGTATGGTAACGGTGTGCCTGATTACGAACGATATGTTCTCTGAGATATTGCCTGCTACGAACATCCTGGAGCGTTGTCGATGGTCACGTTTCCGCGATCCGGACATCACGCTCCCTTTCTACTCTCTCGCCATGGAATTCTTCGGACTGTGGAAACGCTTTTCGCGAAATCGCTTAAGACCTTTGCTTTCAGATAATGATTTAATATCCACTTTACAATAATATTCGCGATCATCTTTGATAATATATTTTCGAATAAGAAAATTCCAAATATAATATAAAATTCTAAATATATCTTTATTGAAGTAATAAAAAATGCGATGAAGATGGATCAATCAAAAATTGATTAAACCAAGATATTCGAAGTCGATTTCAACTTTCCCGTTGGAATGTTGTCGAACGTCTCTCGATACTTGGTAAAAATCTCTATCTCGCATTCATTATCAGATTTCACTTTTCAGCGCGTAATATATTAAAACGTTCTTTCGAACTTTCCACAATACTAGGACATTCGACCTTTAACCCTTTCGATCTTTATCGATACTCGAAAATCGTAATATATTATTTTTAACGAATTTTAAAGATATTGGGCACACTTACTTGGTCAGAGTTTCGAGCGAGGAGGTGTATATCGTTCCACCTACGTCGATGTGGACTGGAGCCGTGTACCTGGAAGCGGCTGCCACGCAGGGTATTCCGGTCATCTTCTGGTTGTAGGATGCTGCAGCCGGAGTCGGTGGCGTCGGTGATGAAGAATTGGACATTGTGGGCGACGTGGCCGGCGAACTGCTTGGCGACAGCAATCTGAAAAAGATACTTTCAACATTAACCACCATCAGGCCCTGTTCCTTCTACGAGGATTCGAAGCGTTTGCTTCGATGCTTTGGCGAAAATGATGGCGGAGAGATTACAATTTTTTTCAAGCTGTTGTTTCGAAAAGGGTAGTGTTTTCTTTCAAACTCTTGAGAATATTATTCTGCGTTAATTTCGATGCGAATCGATACTCTTAAGAGGGGATGCAAATTTTTGAAGATTATAACTTTAAAATTACTTCTGATATCAATTTCGAAGAGAATTATTTCGTGTTAATTTTTATCGTCCGTCGTTTCGAATTAATTCAATTGATTTATCAGTTTAGCAAGAGGAAAGATATTACACCGTTTTCATTATTGAGATTTATGCGTTCGTGAGCAATTCTCGTTACACGCCACGATCAATTGTGAGACGTTACGCAAGATCGAAGAATTTCAATTGCATCGAGATGTATCATTTTCTCCGTGTTCCACGGTATATTAAGCGTTGATCTTTAAGAGGTAGGTATAAATTGAGCGTAGTTCTATTTACCTCATTTTAATTTGAGCGCTAGGGAACATATTGCGTTGCGCCAGCTCCGCCTTCGCCTCCTTTACGTCGGCCTCACATTTCCGTCTGCAATTAAAAATGATTAAAAACCTCCAGTATGCTCAACTTCTTCGTTTAAGTTTAATTTCAAGAAATTCTTCACGTGAATTTCACTTTGAATTCTTTTGTGCTAGTAATAAAATAAAAATTCGCGGATTTCATACAAAAGTTTTTACAAAAGTGATAATTACAGAAATATATCACGTATAAACTATATCTCACGATATATATTTTTAAAACGTTGTGTGAACGAACAAATTCCAGAATTGCAATCAAGAGACTTGATAGTAAGTTGAAAGAAGTTCCAAAACGCGATATAAATATTTTATCTTTCGCTTTAAATTCCGATTGATTACCTTTTCATGGATCCAAAAACTATTCCGGAAATCACACTATTCCGGAAGTCACATTCGATTACTTTTCGTAACGAGTATCAAAGGAAACAATGTTTAAAATAGCTTCCTCTCTCACTTCTTTTTAAATACACTTATCAAGTTTTCTCTCGTTTTAGAGTGATAAAAACAGAAAGAACGAAAGAAAATCCTCGACTTCCATTCATCGTTTCCACGCCGTAACGTATGCGATTCATAGCTAAACTTTATGACCGCTATTTATAAGTCATAAGTGAACATTAGAGAAGACAAAACGTACTTGGATATTCTTATGACTAATTGCATCTCCCATTTCATTCCTCAATTTTTTCCCTTTTAAATTAACCAAAATTTTTCCCATTGTTTCGCACAATAGAGAAATGAAACGATTTATCGTTTTTGTATCGTAGCTACTTAAGATTTAAGAGCGCGTAACTCATAAACAAATATTATGAGACAAAATGACACAAAATATTAACATTTCTCGATTTTTCATCAAAATTTCTTTTATTGATTTACACAATAAAAATGGAACGAATTGGTACCCAATTTATCGTTTTCACTCCATAACCATTTAAAGGCCGCAATTTATTAATCATAAATATTGAAGGGGATAAAACGACAAAATTGTTAACACTCTTGTTACAACTTGATCTCTTAATCTTTTCTTCCCCTTTTTAAATGAGCCGAAATTTTTATTTCCGTTACTTACACGATAAAAATGGAACGAGCCGTGGAAAGAACAGCCGATTCACTTCACGTACATTCAACCAAGGCGAAGCCACGGTTTACGGCCGCCATTTAGAAGTCAAAACAACGGTGCACACGCTGACATTAGCGCGGCTAACTTTCCCTCTAACGAGGTCGCGCGCCATTTCAACCGGCTCGATTTAATTTATCGATCCTCGCGGTTGGTCGACGACGACGACAAAAGCCGACGATGATCTGGTCGCGTTGTTTTTGATTTTCGGCCGATCGAATGGAACGCGCAAGTATCCTTCCATACCCCTTGGATACCGCGCCCGTGGATTTTCCATATGTATTAATAAGGCAATTAACCTGGGGAGAGAGAGGGGAGGGGGGGGGAACAATGTTTAACGAGGGAAAGCGAAACCCCCGGCTGGGTTGGTCCGACGAATGAGAGAAAAGTGGAAGGGAGGATGGACGGAGGTTTTGGTGGACGATGGTTTGCGAAGAGAGGGAAGGCTGGATTCATTTCCAAGCTTGTGTACACACCGAGATCCTGGCCCCGGCTTTGTTCCAAAGTACGGCTCCTGCCTTCGTTGCGCGGATATCCTTCCGGTTTCGCGATTTTAACGGAACCGTGGTTTCGTTTCGAGAATAAAATGCCGGCAAATTTTCGCTATTATTCTTGAAAACGTGAAATAGAAATAGAAAATAGGGAGGGAGTGCTTGTAACATGCGTGGAGGAATTTTTAAATTTAATTTCACTCTTTTCCCTCAGCGAAAAAAAATGGCGAGTAGTTTTGGAGGAATTTTTATTCGTTGAAGTTATTTCTATTAGTAGAAGGATATTATATAATAAAATTAATATAGACAAAGGTATAACGATGATTAGTGGGATAAAACGAAAGGACTTGTAATATAAAATAGTGATTTTCATATCCGTTACAAAAATTCGGAATGTTATGGAAATGAAATATGGAGCTAGCTGTTATTGGAAAATAAGGATACGTAACTGTAACTGGTATAAAGTAGATCGTGCATAATTTTGCTTCGTTGTTCGGATTCAGGTTAGAAATACGTTTGGAGATATTTGAAAGCGTGAAACACGACGCGAACGAATTTATGAGTGAAATCAGGTTTACCGTTTCAGACTGCGTCTTATCAGAGATTGTAATTTAGAGTTACATTTGCACACCGTATCTGGATATTCGTTTTTTCTTAATAATTAACCGTCATAATTACTTTTCTCGTTAATTCAAATACAATTAATTTACCAAAAGTTTAATTTTCGTTTTTCAAATACACTTCTCGGATATTTCGATTATACGACGTTGTATTAATTCTTTCACGGACGTGAATCGTATTCACGCATTACTTTTCTTCTTTGATTTTTCACAACACCGAGGCGTCTGGTATTTCCTGTACGTTTCACGATTGATCATGTTCCATTGACGTTTTTAAAATATTACTGCTGGCTTAAGAGGTAACATTGATTTATCGTACAACCCACGCAGCAATGTACACGAATTCTCTTCTGTTTCAATGCACTTCGTGTTTTCTTTTAAGCCATTTAATTCTCAATTGATCCGCAAAGCGCGTTCTCCAGACTTCAACACAGAGAATCAGATAATTCCTACAATACAAACAATCTTATATATTATATCGTACATTTATTCAAGAATTTGCTTATCACAAATTTTTAAATATCCCATTCGTAAAATCATTCGAATCAATCAGATCTCCATTAATGCGAATAATAATAATAATAATAAATTTTACTCCACCACATGTCAATCAGATCGATCATAATTTCATCAACGTACATACGAACAACGTACATTTTTCCAATGTTACTGAGATGCCTTACCTGCACTTCTCTCCCCTCTAAACAATCCTCTAATTTTCAACTCGTAATCCGAATCCTCAATTACCACCATATCGACATCTCGAAATCTTTTTCCCACAATAACGCACGAGCACGCTCGTCAGAGAGACGAGCGCATCAAGGATACCGCAATCTTAAATCAACGGAGCAACATCACCCCCTCTCGATGTGCGCGTTCGAGCTCTCGTTCCACCTTCCCCCCCCCCCCCCTCTCCCTCTCTCTCTCTCTCCCTCTGCGCGGCATAAATCATTACACCGGTCCCCGCAACGTTAACCTCCGCCGTATAAACACCGATAAATACGAGACTGTGCAACAGTCGAGGGGGTATTAAAGGAACCCAGCAGGCCGAGGAGTACCATCAACCACGAAACTCGAGAGGCAAAGAACGTTCTCGTCGCCGCGGCGATATTTATTCTCAGCCTCCGAGCGGGCAGAGTTGCTGCGACGTCGTCGATGCAAGGGGACGACGAAGGTAAGGCCGAGGGGACTGGTTTTCTCTTTCCACCTTCTGGCTCCCTCTCGCCCCCTTTCGCTTCGCCGTCCGCCTTATCCACCTCCGCTTCCTTCCTTCTTTCTCCTTTCTTTTTTTTTTTCTTTTCCTTCTTCTTTTCTTCGTTGCACGGGGCACGAGTCGCGGCGTATCGCACACCGTTTTCGTTTTCTAGAGGTCGTCGGGCGGTCCCCTTGTCGCCGCCAAGTTGAACGCGAAGAAAAACTTGTTGTCCGTTCGTTGATGAACGACAGGGGTAACGATCGAATTTGTATCTTTGAACGATGATCGGCAATCTGTGTTTATGAATCAGTGATGGGGAACAATTTAATAATCGAAGTTACGAGTGAAAGTTACCTCGATAATTTATCGTTCAAAATGTAATAATAATAATTGTAATGGCTTGAGATTACATGAGAAACGGGATCGATTATAAGAGGTATGAATAAATGTAATTACTTCGTTCGAAATTTTTAACCAGTTTTCAACGGGTTAATGAATCGCAACTCTGTTATGAATCTTTACGTGGAGTAAAATTTCGAAAGGATGTATATATATATGGTAAGGTTTTTTTGAGAGATTGATTTATGGTAGTCTAATAAATGCAAAATAAAATCATGTGTACGGTTGAACACGAATGTAGTTATGTAGTTATATGGTAATATAATAATGTAAATAAACTGTTTTGAAGCAAAATGCGACGAATCATATATCGAGTGATATATTCGTGCTATTGTGAAAGTTAAAACAAAACGGGAAAATCGATATCGAAAAATTTCGATTGAGATTATTAAGTTATTAAGTTGTAAGTTACGTAAGTTGTGTGACACTATCTTCGTCTTTTCATCTAATGCAAATTTAAATTGCTCGCAATGAATAAATCATTATCGATATTATTTTTTTATATCAGAATCGTATAATTATATCTAGAATCATATAATCGATATATATTTAATATTCCGTACAAATAATTTTTGTATTTTAAATATTATGTTAAATTGAACCGAAAGAAATCGATCGAAGAAGCTCTACAGCGCCAATAACGGAGATCGACCTTTGGATGCCTTTGGGCGATCGATTAGCATATGCAAATTCCATTAATATAGATACGCGTATGAACGTAGTTGTAATTAACTTTGATCATAATTGCACGGTAAATCGATCACAAAAATTGTGTAAGAAAACATCGATCGATCAAAACAGTGTTGTTTAAAATTTCTCATTTTTTTAACCCTCGTTTATGAATTGATCATTGCATCTTTGAATTTAATCTCAAATCTGGATAGAAAGTAAAAGTGTCTTCTTTTTTTTCAATAAGAAATTTTTTTGATAATTTTACGATTCTTTTTTTAAAAACCTCTATTTTATCGCTATATAAACAAGAAATCAAACGTGAAAGCTTGAAACAAGTTTCATTCATTTTTACGAAATAATATAAATAATATTACATCTATTTCTTTGATCTATTTCTATTTCTGGTAACGATAAGCTGTATGTGTCTGTTAAAAAAAATAAAACAAACTTTTAAAAATACAAACGTATGACATGCAAGTCATTTTACATTAATTTTTAATTTAAATTTTCGTCGATCAA